AACACATATTTAACCTAGAACGTAAATAGTAATCTGATGGACGACTACGTACCTACGTACGCAGTATAGACTGCCAAGATGATTGGTGTGTGCCACTCGAGATAAGGGAATCAACGTGATAAACAATGCAACTGGCTACTCAAAAAATAAATCATAAGTACACCTGATACTTGAGATAAATGTGCTCGGGGGGAATGCCCATACAAAAGTGACATGGAAATAATAATAATGATAATTTAAAATGCTGCCAACTACTGAGACAATAAATATCAATTTGAAATAGTAACTCAATCAGGCATTGTTCTACTTTTTTTAAGACAGTGTTAACCCAATTTATTTAGCATTTAACGAGCAAAAAAGCTACAATTGTTGATTGATTAGTTTGAATAATATATAACAACTTTCACTAACCATTAAAGAGGATACATACAAATGTACATGATGGATTTAAGCTTCAAGTGGTAAATAATGTCAATAAAATAATTCGAAATTGATAAAGCTCTAATCAGGCGACACTAAGCCGGTGCCGGAATGCTAATTGCAATTGATGCTCATAAATACAGCAACGGAGCAAGTCAATATTAGTAAATGGAAAATTCATAATCAGCCATTCGATCGAATCAATTTGTGATTTACAAATAGTTAACCGCAAATACAGGAAAAATTACTTGCACAATCGCACACTCGACCCGAGGGGGTGTTATGCAATCGCATTAAAGCCCAAACTTAATTGGAATTGTTCTACAACATTTCAGACTTAGCCACATTATAATATCGGCAGCAAAATGCTGCAGCAACAACGGCAGCCACAAATTGCAAATACGAACAAAATAATTAAATGCAAATTTTAATAAACACCGAAAAGATAATAAAACATGCTCTAAAACTACCACTACAACTCCATACATACATAGAGCGGAATAAACGAATGTTTGCCAACACGTTGAGAGCCATAAACTAATAAAATACTCGATGCTAAATTGTCCATGAAATGTTCACGTTTCGGCAGCAGCAGCATAATGCCAATGCATAAAATTAAATGTAAATGATATGCAATAAACGTGAAATATGCATGAAAGGATTAGGCCAAGAGTCTTCTTTCCACTATGAAAGCAAATGGCAATAAATCAAAGAAAAATTCATTAAATTTTCTTTCAGCATTCATCCATATATATTTTCTATGCAAAATAGCAACAATCAGAGAGCTCAAGACAGAGAGAACATTAATATGAATAAATAAGAAATAAATTGTGGGAAACAGAGAAATGGATACGGGTTGCATTGAAAATTATAGGGTTTTAATAGGGAAAAGTACTTAGGGAATTATAAATATATATAGAAACTATATAAATTAGTTTGAAAGCTTCAATTAGAATTAAATAAAGTTTAAAGCCTTTACAGCAACAAATAAAATACAAGTTGTGAGAAGTGATTACAATAAAAGGGAACTGGTTATGGCTTGAATAATATATTAAGCACTGAATATTATTAAGATTAAATTCGAATTATTAATGCTAGATCTTTAGAAGGAAAACTAATGCAGAGAGAGATAACAAGACAAATGAAAAATATGGTGTAAATAAACAAAGGTTGCGATTAAGTGAGTGGTTTTATTAATTATATTTTTAAGTAATCATTAGTCCAAACAACACGCAAACTAATACCGAAACGACATAAACAAATAAATCAATGAAATAATGTACAATCAGACAAACTCAATTGCAGCAATCGACTCGCAATGATTTTTGATTTGATAGTTTTAGCTTGGGAGTATCTGCACTCAGAGAAAGTTAAAGCAATTTAAGCATACTTTAAAATGTAACAAATTTAATTTTGTAACCCCGTATGAAATGTTGAAAAAAATTAAAACATTTATTTATTGACCGCACATAGCCAGATTGACTCGTCTTGTGGTGCTGGTCAAGAATATATTTGATTTATAGGGTCGAAAATGAATTCTTCATAGCATTATAAGTTTTTGATTAAAATTTGAATACCCTGCAAGGGTAACAAATTATTATTTTTTTTAAATTAAATGATAATTTGTCTCTTTAGAATTTAATAGTATATTAGGAAAATAGAGTTAAATAAAGTTAAACAGGTAAATAGATCAAGAAGTTCTTAATCAAATAATTTAAATAGTATAAAAGAAAAAGAAAGTAAGAAAAAGAAAAAATTATAAGCAAAATTAAAACTTTTTTATTTCTGTTTAAAGGTGAAATAATAGTTTTCCCCTTGAACTACCCAAGCTCAATCTTACAGAAACCTAAACCTCGCTTACATTCTTCACAGAACCTAATCTATAAGGAAGCAACTTGATTATAATATATTTTAATATGAAATAAAACACAGTTTTTAGTATTTTTTCCCAAATGTTTGTATTTTTCGCTCTGTCCCTACGATCGCATTGTCTCAGTTGATTTAATTTTTTGCGGCATCTTCACGTCAGAAGCGGTTCAGGGCAGACGCAGGTTCAATCTGTGTCTCAATCTCAGACTCAGTCTCAGTCTAGGCTAAGTCAGTCTGTCAGTTAGCTGGACAGTTGTGTTAGCCATTTAGTTATAGTTGGTTCATTCATTCGGTTTGAGTTTGTTTGAGTTGCCGGGTCTCGATAGACGTCGTCGCAGTCGCCGCTTTTAGCTTTTCGGTCGCCGTCGTAGTCTCTGTCGGCGTAGCGTCGCTTCGTCCGCAGTTAACTTCTCGCTGTTAACGTGGCTATAATTGCAAGACGCAAGAAAGCAGTTTTAATTGTTGTAAACAAGCGCGCGAGTTCGGTTCAGTTGGCAATAAAATAGAAAAATAAAAAAAAACGACCAGAAGTTCTCCGCGAGTTGTTACAATTATCATTTGTTATTATTGTTGATAGAGGTCATGAATTTTTGTTTGAAACTAAAAAGTTAAAATGTTATAGTCCAGTTGACTTCAAGTGTAAATGAACTAGTGTTAAATTGCTTAATTAGTAAAGTGTGAAAACATAAACAAGGCAAATATTAGGCCTTAACTTATGAACTGTGTTCTCATAAGTAAGAAATAATTAAAAGTTGAGGAAAACGCTTCCTGCTTTTTATTATTGAATGTTTTGCTGTCTCATCATTAGAACATTTGCTAGCAATAAATAATATTTGAAAAGATTATGCTGAGAAAGTGAGAATTTATTTTCAAAAGGAATACTTATTATATAGTATTTTAAACTTAATAAACAATGATTTATATATTCAAGAAACATCGTATAAAATATAATAAAAAGTCAAATAAATTAAAATCATGAGACTTTCCTTGGAAATATTAAATTAACACAACTAAAGTTTATCAAATTCTTGGAAATTAAATTTGTGTTGTTATTTTGCTATATTTATGAGTATTTTCTATGAATTCTTTGCTTTCTTTGTGTGTTTGATTCAGTATTAAAGTTAATTGATTTGCCAAAACGAGCCCCCTCAGTTCTATATACATATCTGTACATATATATTTGTATACATTATCATTATTATCAGTTTATAGTCTGCTCTGGTATTCCAAATCGATCCCATTTGATTTTATATGCAAAGGCGTAGAGAATGTAAATTTTTATACCCTTGCAGGGTATTATAATTTCAGTCAGAAGTTTGCAACGCAGTGAAGGAGGCACCTCCGACTATATAAAGTATATATATTCTTGATCAGGATCAACAGCCGAGTCGATCTAGCCATGTCCGTCTGTCCGTCTGTCCGTCTGTCCGTCTGTCCGTCTGTCCGTCTGTCCGTCCGTCCGTCTGTCCGTCTGTCCGTCTGTCCGTCTGTCCGTTTCTACGCAAACTAGTCTCTCAGTTTTGAAGCTATCTGAATGAAACTTTGTAGTTAGCCTTGTATATACTCTCACTCGTATATATGTCGGAACGGGCCGGATCGGACGACTATATCATATAGCTGCCATAGGAATGACCGGAAAATTTTTACAAAAAAAATTTTAACTTTTTCAGTTTTCAATAGAATTGAATCAAATTTGAGATATAGCCATTTTCCTATACTCTTCAATTTTGTACGAAATTTTATAAAAATCGGACTACTATATCATATAGCTCCCATAGGAACGATCGAGAAATTAATACAATTAAATTTATAACTTTTTTAGTTTTCAGCTGATTTTCATCAAATTTGAGATATAGCCATTTTATATAAGTCTTAAATTTTGTGGCAAATTTCATGAAAATCGGACGACTATATCATATAGGTGCCATACAAACGATCGTTTGATGTGGAGGAAAAATGCAAATCAGTGAATGTAAAACTGCAAATATAATATGTATAGGTGAATGAAATGAAAGCAGGTATTACTTCATTGTTTTTTAACACAAATATATATAATTTATATTGTATGGATTCCTATTCATAGAAGTTCTATCTGCAAGGGTATATAAACTTCGGCGTGCCGAAGTTAGCTTCCTTTCTTGTTCCACTTGATTTATTCGTTAACTGCATACAGTTTCCGTCTGGTTTACTTAAATATGTATGAATATATAAAATATATATATATGTCCTCACATATATATTTATTGTTTATATATATATATAAATGACCCGATATTGGCAGTGAAATTCAATAGGGTTCCCCAGTTTTAATTAATGTTTATAGATGCTGAAAACAAGCGCCCTAATTGACTGTTGTTGAAGCTGTTCCAGAAATAGAACAATCGTTCGTCATTAAATGAGTTGGAGATGTGTATATTTATGCACTTAAGGGATGTCTTATATAAGTTGTAAGCTTATAAATTAATCACCATAAACAAATAAAGGAAAGTTGAGTAAAACTTAACTGTAATTAGCAACAAGACGATTAACTTTTGATACTCGAAATAAATTATTAAAAATATTGAGTATTCGAATTCTAAGAAATACCATTGCAGTATTAACATAATTGGTATAATTTATGTAATTATATTAAATATATTTTAAACGAAATTACAGAGCTTGTAAAATATTTTGTCCTTGTTTTGGGCCATTTTTAAAAACTTTCCTTATAGAGTATAACAAGAAGAACTTTCCTTAGAGAGTATTTTAAGTTTTTAAAGCTTAGAAAAAACTCAAAAATACAACAATCTCAAAAACAACTTCAATAGCTGAGTATTCCCAATGCAAAATAATAAATTCCTGCTACATTTATTTCCGTTTTCAACACTTACATCCACTTTTCTTCTATAAATATTTGTGGTTGTTCAGCAATGTGTTAATCTTAAAGCCTCATTAAGTAATTCTGTCGATATAAAATGAGTGTCTTGAGGTCACACGTGTTTACTGCCTTGGATCGTACTCTAAATATACTCTATATACACTCCTATCTATATGCACTTCACGTGTAATCGAGAATTAGTAGGGTAAATATGCAAAGATTTTTTTACAGCCTCGAAAGTGGCAGAGATTAAACGAAACAGAGCAGATACAGAAATGTTTTCCCTCATTTCCACTTGGCAAATCAATAAACTCAACTCATACAGATAGACAGCCGAAGGAGATTGCTAAGATAAATTCCCCCTCACAGCACAGCAATAAAAAGCAAATACAACTGAAATAAAAAACAACAAAAAATATGAATAAATAAAGAAAAAAAATGTGGAAAAAGAAGAGTTTTAATGCCAACGATCAATATTTGAACAACAAATCAGCAATGAGAGCGACTGTATCTGCGAGATACAATTTTCTACTGCCCAGAAATGCGATGCGCGATGCGTAAAGCAAATGAATTAACACCGATGCGTTAACACAATTAGTTGAAAAGTGAAAAACGACATAAAGTAGGGAGGCGAGAGATTAAATACAAAATAAAATCTATATGCCAGGCTCGGGGAGTGCCGACAAAAAGCGGCCCAGCAAATTTGCAACTTTACACTCGTCGGGCGTTTTCAGTCGCGAAATGAAGCTCCAGCATCGCGGCTGACTTGAAGAAAACTACACAAAAATACAACTGTTTCTAACTTAATAAATACCTCAATTTCAAAAGTGATAAAAATATAAAACAAATATTCTAAATCATGGCTGAATTATTGAAAGCTCTCAACTTTACGGGCAGCCTGCTGGCAGGCCTCGAAGACAGCGGCAGCAAAAATCTCACTTCTGCCACTGCCACAACCATTGCCGAAGGCCTCAATGCCACCGCAACGGCCTTGAATGGCACCACCACCACAACCGCCAGTACCACCACCTCAGCGAATAGTGGCGAAAAACTTGATCTTGGTGGCTTCGATCTGCCGGGCAACTACTCCATACTCATTAACAAACTTGAGCAACTGGCCTTGGGCTTGGACTCGGCCTTGGGAAATTTCACCATCGATCGCCAGGAGGTCGAGATTAATCTTAGTGGTGCCACGGCCAATGATGTGGCCGATGTGGCTGATGATTTATTGGATGTACTGCCAGCAGCCAGGGCTCCACCGCCTCATATAGCCCATGGTTCAAGGATATATACGGGCGATGATCAGCAGGATTTTGCCCATGTGGTCAGCGATATCTGGATTGGAGTTATCCTAACACTGCTCATCGTTTTTGTGATATTCTTCATATGTGCATGCTTTGTGTACCACAAATTTCAGCAGTGGAAGAATTCATGTAAGTTTTGGATACAATGGGGCGTATACGTAATGTCATTTTTAGTATAACCTAACTTAAGAGGGTTTTTGAGAAGAAAATATAAGACGAAAGGTTTATTTTTATGAGGAAACACAAAATATATTATAAATAGCTAGCAAGTTGGTATAGGAAATAAAGTAACAGGGGATTACTAGGCGTATACGTAATGTCAATTAAAGTTTAAGCTAAGTAAGTAGGATTTTTCGAAAGATATATAATAGAAAGCATAAGGAAACATATAATATATATTGATAAGCCAGGAAGTTGGTTTAGGAGATAATGTAAGAGCGGCTTACGAGGCGTATACGTAATGTCATTTTAAGTGTAAGGCAACTTTTGAAGGTTTTTGAAAGGAATATATTAAGGAAGTATTTATTTTGATAAGGAAACTTATAATTTATATTACTAAGCTAGAAAGTTGGTCTAGGAGATAATGTAAGAGCGGCTTACGAGGCGTATACTTAATATGGTTTTGAAGTTTAAACTAAGTGGATTTTTTTTAAGATATAAAAGAAAGCATTTATATAAATTAGGGAAACATAAAATGTTTAAAAATGAGCCAGGAAGTTTATTTAGGATATCATATAAGACTGGCTTACGAGGCGTATACGTAATCTCATTTTAAGATAAGCTAACTTAAGAGGGTCTTTTAGAAGAATTTATATGAGGAAGCGTTTATTTTTATAAGGAAGCATATTATATATACTGATAAGCCAGAAATTTGGTCCACGAAATAAGGTAAGAGCGGCTTACTTGGCGTATACGTGATGTGGATTTAAGGGGAAGCTAGGAAAACATTTCTGCTGGTTTTATTTGGATATTAAAATCATTTATATATTTATTTTCTCTTATTTCCAAGCTCTGTTTCCAAGCCTTTTTAACAATCTTAACAAAACTTGTCTAGAGATTTCTAAGCTTTAAATTACGTCAACATCAATAGGTTAACAATCAGTCAATAATATTGCGATGAGCTAGCACAGTTTACATTTAATCTGTGCCCTCCATATTTACATACCTGACAAAATCAAATATAAACAATTACTCACACACAAAAACCCACCCCATTCCCATGGTTTATTGAAAATTCAAATTCCAAAATTCGCGGTAATCCATAAATCAAATTGCAGAATCATTGGGGCTGAATTAAACGTCAGTTGGAAACCCGTTTAGACTTGGACTTTAGTGCGATGAGCGACGTTGGGTGGCAAGAGCAAAGCAAATAACGTAACAAAAATACATAGAAGCCGATAAAAACAAATAAACAAAAGTACCGAAAAGCAAAGTCTGCCGCAGGAAGCAACTTTTCCCAAAACAAAAAGAAACAAAAATAAAAACCAAAAAAACAGCAGCAGTAGCATAAAACAAAAACAAAACAATAAAGTCGGGAATGATTCACCTTTCTCTGGAAAAAAAAGAATGAATCGAAATTTCAACTCGTATTTGTTTAGCACATTCCGCACAGTCGGAGATCTTGTGACTTGGAAACAGGGCGAAAAGCACAAGACATTTCACAGTTCCAAGCCAGGCTAATAAACAATGCATGAGTATATTCTATGAGCTGTCTGTTATTGGCCCCCAACAATTTGCCCAAAATAATAATTAGAAGCCACAAAATGGGGAGTCAAAGCACTGGGAGAAACTTCAAGATAATCCTTGGTATTTAAAAGGAAGTTTTTGAAAGTTAGGATCAATTTTTGAGATTATTTTTAAACACATCTCATGGGATGAGTTCTTATTACTTTTTTTATATACCTTATGAGCAACTAATTTAAATGCAATTATTTGTTATATACACAGAAATAAAACAGAAACCGGAAAATTATATTACATTGATTAACATTTTATTTATTAATATAATCAAGTTTTAATTGATTTTTAAAACAAATATCTGAATTCAAAGTGTGCTGATGCCTAAAAAAATTAAATTATTGCTTAAGACCATTTTCTACCTTTTTTTACATTTTATTTTCTAAATTAATCAAGTTTTAATTGATTTTTGAAAAAAAATATCATTACTTTTAGCTACCTGCCAATCTCAATGTTAATTATCTGTATTACAAATGTTCTGATGGCCGAAAACAAATTAATATAATCTTTAACATCCTTTTCTATCTTCTTTTTTACATTTTATTGCCTAATTTTATCAAGTTTTAATTTAATTTTAAAGCAAATATCATTACTTTTAGTTGCCTTCCTATCTCAATTTTAATTATCTGTATTAAAAATGTTCTGCTGCCTAAAAACAAATTAAATAAATGTTTAAAACAATTTTGTATCTTCTTGTTGACATTTTATTTCCTAATTTATTTCAATTTTAATTTATTTTATAAACATATATAGTTGCTTTTAATTGTCTGATATTCTCAATTTAAATTATATGTATTAAACTTATTCTAATCCTAAAGAATACAAATTTAACTACATTCGTACATTTTCTTTGATTTTTGCTCGAGTGTAAACCCAAAAACCTAATCATAATTTGTCCGGTTTTAGTTCTGCTATAAATTATACCGCAATTAGGCCAATAAATTGCCAACTTACACATTGATTAAACAGGGGAGGTAGCAAAACATTCATCCAGACAATGCATTGCGGCCCCTTATCTGTTGGAGGAACCCCTTGTGCCATTGTCTTTGCCGTTGGCCGCCTTCAAAAACAAACATAACGTTTCCAGTTAATTAAAGTTGCAGTCAAGTGGCCCACTTTGAGGATAGAGAGAGAGAGAGAGATAGAGAGAAAGGGAGAGAGATTCTCAAGCACTTGCCATCGCTGTTGTTTACATTTGCCAATAGCTCGAGCTGCGCCCTGTCGCTCTATTACACTGCAAATTTGTGTTAATTAATTAAAGTCCTCCTGTTTCGTCCTCTTATGTCCTCTTCTGACCTCTCCTGTCCAGTCTTCTGACCATTTCTGTTGCTGTCAATTGTTTGCTTACGGCCAAAATGGCTGCTGGGCTAATAATTTCTTTCATTCGTTCGGCTTCAATTGAGCCCAAGTCAATTGCCTCGATAAGGGGCGAATGTAAGTCAAGTGCAGGCAGCAGTCAAAGACCTCGAGTACAAATGGGTTCAAGCAAACATTTGGCGTTTGCTAAAATAAATATCTAAGTGAACTGTACATTGATAAAGCCTAACGCAATAAACTTTCTGTTGCCATCAGGATGTGAAAATTATGGGAATTAAAAATAATAAATAACAAGATATTAGGAATGTTTTATAATAATTAAAGCAGTATCGGTATTATACATAATTAGGGATTTATTTAAAGGGAATTAAAAGAAAGAATTAAATATGTAATACTGTTAGAATATTCATCTGCTTTTTCGGTGTCTTTCCTATATAAATTCAATTGTAGGTTAATAAAAAGTATTATTAATGTTTAAATATATAGTTAGGATTTAGTAATATACAGTTTTTAAGTGAACTTTTACGAAATACACTCAACTCCTAATATTTATTTATAGATATTTGGGGGATTATAAATAATTAGAGATATATTTCAAGGGAATTAAAAGAAAGAATTAAATATGTAATACTATTATGATATTCATCTGCCTTTTTTTAGTGCCATTCTTATTTAATTTCCATTGTAGGTTAATAAAAAGTATTATTACAATTGAAATATATCGTTAGGATTTAGTAATATACAGTTTTTAAATGAACTTTTACGAACTACACTCAACTCAACTAAAAGTTTATTCCAACTAATATGACTTTTAAAACAAATATAAAATGCTATTAATCAAAATTTAACCAATACCTTTCGAGTTACATGTTTGACTTTACTTTGGCAAATAAATATTATACTTACCTACAATAAATTTATACATTTCCTATATATTTTTTTTCTTTTAAACTGCTGCGTGTTTTATAATTTCTATCGTACAAACAACTACAAAATATTTGACTTGGCAACCAGGCAAAGTCAACAATCGGATGCTAAATACATTTTTTTAACCCCCCAAAACCACACCCCTCGTCTATTGACAATAACTTTTTTGCAATACTTTTTTTGCCTTCGCCACCCATTTTTTATCTTTCTTTTTTGTAGTTATCCAATGCTCAGACACGTTTTTGAGAAAGCTGCCCGAACAATGTCTATTTTTATTTATATTTATATAGAATTCAACTGCCACATCACAAGATTTAAATATCAATATGTGTTCTACACTTGTATAAAGTTCATTAAATTCCATTTTTTCTTTTGGCGAAATACAAAAAAAAGACAGAGAAAGAGAAAGAGTCTTTATCAAGCCGCGAAACGTCACTCATGAACGCACTGACAACAGTGCGTATGAGTGACGGGTCGTGACATGGCGCTCGTTTCGGTTCACGGCTGTTTAATTTCCTTTTAATGAGTTGTTTATCTTTGTGTTTGTTGTTGAACGTACAACGTCATTGTTGCGGGCATCGCATTGTTATTATTTTAACTGATTTGCCTACCAATTTGCTCTGGCCTGCGCCACTTATTGTTTTTAAGCTGACACCCTTGACTGGGCTTTTGCTTGGTTAAAGGCTTTAAATAGTAAATAAATGTGTATATTTAATATTTGCCTGCGGCCAAGACCTTTCAGCCATAAATTATATGATGACGCTTCAGTGGCTTTATGCTTGATGGACAGGCTAAGATATGTGAGCTGATTGTGGAGTTCGTAGAACCCAAAGTTTTGGGATTTTAAAGAATTATATATTTAATAATAGAAAATCAACTTAGTACTATTATAATAAACCTCTTTTAAATCAAGAGGCCATAAAATTATAATCTTCATAACCATAAATTCTTATACCAATTACCTCAATTGCCAAACTACCCCATAAAGATAAAGTATAGTAAGCGTTAAGCCCCTTAAAATAAACCGACCTAAATAGGCTTGTAAAATGTATATAAATAGATGTTTTTTTCACTTGCACACACCTTTTTCCCTAATCGAAATCAATTTCCAATCGATTGCAAACTTTGCGGGATAAACTTTTTAAGAG